AAACCGGTAGCAGTTTTGGATCGAAAGGTTCATAGACTTCGGAAACGAGATGTTCCACTAGTTCGNCTCGTTCGTATCAAGTGGAATAGATATGGAGAATCAGATGCCACTTGGGAGCGAGAAGCAGATATTAGAGCTCGATTTCCAGATTTCAAGTTTTGATGATCTCAGTAAGTTACTATTTCCAGTTCTTTATTAGTATTTCCGAGGGCGGAAATAGTATAAGGGGGGTAGATTATAATATCCCTTTCAGTTAAGTATCAGTTATCTACAAAAACAAGAGATTTTGAGGGTAAATAAGTATAGAAATTAAAGTTTTTAAGCCACACGGGTCGTGTCACAAGTGACACGGGTCGTGTGGAGTCACACGGGTCGTGTCACAAGTGACACGGGTCGTGTGGCTCAAGATGAAATTAAAGATCTGCTTCGGCTTTGTGACACGAGCCGTGTCACTAAGTGACACGGGTCGTGTGAGGTCACACGAGTCGTGTCACTAGGTGACACGGGTCGTGTTGCCGACAAAAGTGCAGATTTTTGAGATTTTGCATTTAATGCCAATCAATAGGATTTTTTAGCTATTAATTATGTTAGCTGATAATTTGAATTGTTAGGTGAGGGTTTATTTAAGTTGATTAAATTATAGAAGTTTAAATTGTTTAATTTGTTAATTTCTACACTCCAAATAAATTATTCCAAAATTTTGGCTATAAATAGGGCCTTTAGAATCTGAAATTTTCACACCAAAAATATTTCCAAGTTATATAAGTGCTTAAGGAGTAATAATAGAGTGATAAGTATAGTGGAGGGAGGAAATTTTGAAGTGGAAGGAAGAAATTTTCAAGAGCAAGTCTTTGAAGGAGGTAATTCACTTATGTGAAAATTCATGCTCATATTAAGTTCATGGTAATCTTGATCTCATGTTAAATAAGTAGTTAGTATGCATGTATAAGTGTTATGAGGAGTTCAAGTTGTTATATGCTTTAATGATATAAGGATTATTTAGTGTGATTTTTGAGAGAATTGAGATTTTGATATAATTTGAAGTTAGTATGTAAATTGATGTCATGATATTAAGATGAGAAATGATTAAGTGGCATATATGATGTTAAAGTTTTTAAGAGAAGTTGATATGAAATGTTCATGATGAGTAAGTTGATAAAAGCATAAATTTTAAGCATTTATGATAAGTTTAGTATGTTAAGAATGCATATTTCATAAATTGTTTTGGTGTTATGATTTAAAGTTAAGTTTTATGAGTAATACCAATTAAGACAAGTTTAGCAAGTTACAATTCTTGAGAATAATGTTGGTAAAAGATAAGTATATTTGAGTTTATGTATAATTTGAGTTATCTTGTAGCCAATATCTAAGTTTTATCAAGTATAATTAATATGAGTTATGGCATACAATGAATTTATTTGAGATATAGCATGTTTATGATAAGTTATAAGTTAACAGTTAAAGTTAAGAATCTCAGTATCTTATTGAGTATTCGAGCATAGTACTTAGTATATTTGTTTATATTTTTATGAAGCGTTACAAGTCGGCTACGAGAAAAACACTTACAAACAGTTTTTCAAGAAGAAAGGTGGGAACCCAGACTGGGTATTACATTGAGTATAATACCTATTATTATGTTCGAGGTATGTATAAAGTTAAGTAAAGTATTAAGCTCGCCCAGTCGAGACTGGGTTCTGTGGGAGGCGACCCCCAGAATGTGATCACGTGAGAACCGGCCAAGTTACCGGTAGTTGCAACGTTCAAGTTAAAGTTACCGGTCAGATACCGGAAGATTAAGCTCAGATATATATACCAAAGTTCATGATATTGATATTATTATTAATGTTTACTTTAGTATGGGTTTTTACGGAGTACAGTGGATTAGTGCTCACGCCCCACTATTATCATTTTTCAGGAAATAAAGACGGCGTTCAGGTGTGAGGAGCTGTGGTGGTCGTGGATGTGAATAAGTTTCTATTGAGAATTTTCAATAAGGTTTCGGTTTGTAAACCACACTTGTAAGATATTCCGCTACGTTTCTTTAAGATTTGAACAAGTGTGATTTTAAAGTTTGATTTATCAAGTTGATTGTATGAACTGCTAAGTTTTTATATTTGTTCAATGTTTAAAATCTGTTAATTTATGTCTAACTTAGTTGTTAGATAAAGTTTAAGTAAACAGATTTTTAAAGTAGATAAGTTAGTAGCATCCCGTGTTAAGAAGGTTTCGAAAAATTTATAAGTATTTTCGAAATAAGTTGCGAAAAATTTACTCTGATAAGCGGGGTGTTACATGTCATATTTTTGATCCATTTAGAAATAAATAATGTCGGTCATTGGATTATGGGTTTATTGTCCTTTGATGATATGAAACTTCGAATCTATAATTCAATTCGCACACAAGATTGTGATAATCTTGTTATGGAGAATGTGAAGGCGTGCGTTGAGCTTATCCCCATTTTCCTTGACTTGGTAAAGTTTCCGAAGAAAGCAGTGCACGGTCCACTTGAGGTTGTTATGGTGGATAATGTTCCCCAACAGCTAAATAGGTAAACTAATTCATTCAGTTATGTTTAATTGCCAATTTTGTTTTAACTAATTTCATTTAGCAATTCGATCTTATAGTTGTTAATTTTTAGTTTAATTATTACTATTCTTGGCAGCGACTGCGGGATATATGTTGCCTCATTTGCCGAGTATTTCATTGTCGTTCATGACATTACCAAATCGAACATTGATGCTACTGTCCAGAGGCATAGATATGGTTATCTTCTATACACTCATGGTCTAATGAAACAGACTAATGGGTTTGAGAGTGACGATGAATCACCCGGTACACTGACTGATGAAGTTCGTTTTGGCTTTCTGAATGTTCTGCATAAATCGTAGAACATCTCTTTTTTTTTATTCGGGGTGTACGTTTCAGACTTTATTATGTGTGCATTTTTTGTTTCTGTTTTAGGTTCGAAAACAATGTGTAGGACTATTTTACATTGCCTAAAAATATATTATTGCAAGGTTTATTTTTATTATACCTCTGGTATATGCACTGTTTTTTTTCCACATCTCTGGTATATGCAATGTTTTTTTTGTTATATCTCTGGAATATTTTCAACTTATATTACATATACTATCTGATGGTTTACTTTTATATATTATTAAAATATAAACTTTGTTATATGTTTGGTATATGTTTGTTATATATGAGGTAACCGTTATCGGTTGATAATAATTTTTGACAGCTAAGTTAATTTTTTTTTGTTTTCTTAGTTAATATGAGTACATTTAATGTACATCAACACGAGATTGCCTGAAGTTACGAAAACATACCCATAATATAACCGGAATATACCATTAAACTAACATTTAATACATGTTTATGCTTTATACTCAATATAACAGTATAATGAAACTTAACATTGCATATTAATACAACACAAAAATATAATATCGAGAATAATGGAATAACAACGCTTCAAATTATTCATAACAATCATTGGACTAACATCTTTCGGATTCCTACAAGTTTTCACATTGTGTCCTTTCTCATTACACTTGCTGCACCTATTTTTTGACCTATGTTCCCACCCTGACTTTACTCGCTGCTTACGTGGCCGCCCTGTCCTAACACGTGCATTTGGGGGACTTATCAAAGTGCGGTCAGATTGTGCTTCACTCGTGAATGCAATATTTCCTTCAATTGGTGTAACAGCATCCTCATAAGTTGACAACATTGTAGAGTTTAGGTAGTACACAGAACAAGAAAGTCTTTTCGAACTAATGCCACATCTTCTACTTTGACAAGGCAGGTGCAAAAGGAAAAGGAGTAAGGGCTCGTCACCTTGGTAAAGGAACGACCACTTGGGATGCCTTGATCGAGGAAAATACCGAGGTCACAAAAGTAGCTAAGGAGATGATCGATGGTCAATTACATCGAACCTGGTTTCAACATAGAAATTTGACTTCCTCTTGCCTCCTGCTGACCTAAATGCCAGATTCTCGATGTAGTTTCTCCAAAAAAGTAACTGATCGGAAAAAACCCGAAAGCGAAGAGAAAGCCATAGCGAAAGTCTTAGACAACAGACTTTGAAGTCAGTATTTCAGTAGACGAGTAAGCCATATTCCTAGTCCTGCTGATTCTCATCTAACTCCGCTTGCTTGATCGCTTTGCTCTGGGGTCATCCCTGGTCAAGCTTAAGCTTTGCTTTCCCTGCTACACAATACGTGCATGGCAGAATGTCACCTGGCAAAGTTACTTCAAGGATAATATCTTTTCTTGATTTTTACATTGGGAGTTATAGGCATCTATTGACTGAAACGAGTTGGGAAGCTACCGAGCGTAGAGTTCGCTTTTGGCAGCTCATGAACCGACCGGTTGACTCTGTGTCTCTACCTAAGTAGAGTAGAGCCACACCCTCTATGAGCCATTTCCTTCTTTATTACATCAAGCTACTTTGTGAGGTAGGGGCCAGACTGGTGACTGCTGCAGTTGTTGGAAAATGTACCCATATCTCGAGTAATCATCGATAAACGTAACGAAGTACTCGAAACCACCTCTCGCTTGAATACTCATAGGACCACATAGATCGGAAGAGAACTGTGACAGGGGATGACGAAGAACGAATGTGATCACTCCTTCTGGGTTCGTCCCTCGCTTTGGTTCGGGGTGCTGCCGTCAAGTCACCTTTGCTGTCGATTCCGAGACGTATTTTGCTTGTGTTTAATCTTTCCCGATTCAAAATTAGAATCGATTTTTTTTTAATTGGTTTTTTAATAGTGTTTGGTCAGAGCCTGTTTCCATAAGGTTCAGGGACAGTTCGGGTCGGCCTGTGGTCATGGTCACGAAAAAGGTTAGAATTAAGAACTGACTATTAGTTAAGTATTGCTCGTCAGTATGTTAAGCTAATGGGATTTATCCCTCCTCTTGCGAATGTTTGAACGGGTCACTGGGGTCGAAAAATGAATTCGACAAACCAAAATCAACAAACAACCTGCTCGAGCAAAAATGAATATATCTGGCCGGCGATGAAGCCCCGTCACGGCCGTCCTCAATCGTATTGTAATCGCCCGGCCGTCGATCCTGTTCGCCGTCGAATATAGCTGCCGAGAAGCCTGATTTCTACGTGTCTCGTAAAGACTTTCGCTGGTAGGCTTTTCGTAAAAGATAGGCAATATTCAAGTATCTAAAAGAGCTAACTATATCAGAGCTATTGTGTTGCTTCTTTTTCCAAACGAGGTTTCCGGACGAGATGATCTAGGTTTAACCTCGAGGGGTTTCCTCGAGTTTCCTAAACCGGTTTCCCGGCTCATTATCCCGATCCACGAATGGCTCGGAATAAGAATAGTATAGTTAACCAATTGGACTTGGTTTCGGCACCGTATTCAGAATTCTACCTAAAACTCGGTTCACCTTCATTCGTCCTCTTCGCCTTCGGACACGCTGGTTTTTCTGGGTACATTCAACTCAAGAGGAACCTGTGAGATTTAGCAGAGTGCTTGCGTCTTCTCATTACGTGATTGATCATTGCTCTTCGAGACCTACTGCTTACCGAGCTCTCACTCGGGGGAGTTTGGTTGCTCCGTATCGACTCTATGTTTACGGTACACTAACGGAAAGAGCTTTACCTTATTTTTCAATTTTCATTGGGATAGTTTTATCTACAATTTCAGCCTTCATCAACTTAAATAGAATGAATGGCCCTAGGCCATGAAATTCCAACGGCATCAGCCTAAATAAGGGGGGCCCCGAAGAAGGCACAATACGTTCTTAGATTCGACCGGTCAAAGCATTGATTCTAAGCCTTTCCTCGATCGGCAGCAGAAAGCTGCAAGAACGTCCTTCCCTAAGAACCTGTCTTATCTTACCCCTATCTTTCAAGGGCTCAGTATGGAGTCAAGTTTTCCGGAACTATTAGTGCTTCCTTTTACTCCCCTTGAAAAGCTAAAGACTAATGGAAGGTACTCCGCGCTTAGGTCAAAGCAATCGATCCATCACGCCCCGCCATTTC